GTCGTCGCAGTCTCGCCAAAATTGGAGCCATCGAAGTTGGTGAATTCAAATCGAGAGAGTAGCGTTGCAACGTCCATAAAGATGGAAAAGAGGGATGGAGATCGAGGCGTTGCAATCAAGGACTGTCCCAGCAGGAAAGCAAAAAGGTTACGGAACAAAAGAAGATTTTCTAAGTCCTCCCCGGTGAGTCGAGTATTCGGGTTGGAAACGTCGCTGTTCAGGGGGATGGGAAGGTAGAGATGAAGCTCCTGGAACTCTTCGGGACTCTCATCATCCATGTAGGCCAGCCGTTGGCTACCAGAGCTGTCATTGTCATTGTCGGCCAAGCGATCTTGAGGTGTCAAAGGCGGTGACGCGGGGCCGGCCACGGGGCTATTCAAAGACAGATTGCCTGTTTGTTGCTCAAGGGATATGGGACTGCGAAGCTCGTTTCCGCGAGCAAGGAAATGGAGGGAGGGAGATTCCGCAAAGACCGTCGAATGGACCTTGAACGAGGCCTGTCGGCCGGTGTTCTGGGGGAACAGATATACGTAGGTGTCGCCATTTTCGTTCCACAGCTCGGGGATCTAGCGTGTTTCCAACGTTGGTTTTAGTAAACGCTAACGAGCGGGCTAGCCATGCACGAGCGAGTCCCGCGTCCTGGGCCCATCGGTACACACATACCTGTTCTCCTCGAGACAGAGGTTCCAAATCATACAAGATCTTCTGCTCTAGGCCAGCAATCCAAGCACTGGGCATGGCTGAGGCGCTGGCGCGCGGATCAGCTGAGCTTGCACGAGCCCGCCCGGGCATCCAGCTACGCCGTTTAGAAGATGGGGTGCTCGGGCGCGAATCCGGACCGGCGCCTGGCACAAACAATCCCGCAGAGCTGGACGGTCGACTCCCACTACGCCCGCGACCGCTACTCTGGGGTCTGTCGGAGGAGCCGGGGGTGCTGGTGGCCAGATCCTGGTTGACGGACAGTAGGGATGGAGGCGGCGGCAAAGGTTCGTCCAAATCAAAACCATCGTGGGGACCGGGGGGGAGAGGCGGGCGGGTCTCGCCGTAGTCGCTCTGAGGATTAGAGGCTACACGAGCTGATCGGGAGGCGCTGCGAGGACGTGCATCCTGCGGTAACTGGTCGGGGGACGCTTTCGGGATACTCGGAGACGCAGGTGAGGAAGGTGCCGAACTATCCCTGGTCGAACCCAAGGAAAACAGCGACGATATGCGCTTGGCCGATTTTACCGGAGCGGACAGCATGTTTGGAGTCGCTGCGTAAAAGAAAAAAGAGTAGCAACCGTCAGCCCCGGAGAACGAGAGAAAAGGCGTAGCGATGGTCGAACGGGTGAGTGGGGAAGGGAAAAGACATGAATAGCGAGAATGGACAATGAGAATGAAGAGGGAGGGGAGTGAGGAAGTGTGAGAGTAAGATTTGGGGGGAACCAGAGGGTGCAAGTGGGTGACAGGAAACTTCTCCCCTCCACTGACGGAGGAGACCACGGGTTCGCGAAAGGCAGGCAGGGACCGGCGTACCTTAACCAGTTTAACCAGTGAAGTAAGAAAGAATGTAACCAACCATGCGCAAACTCTCCCAGGCGGTCCAGGGACAAGTTTAGTCAAGGAATTCGAGAGGGTTTGTCGAAGAAAGGGCAGGCAATTCGTGCGAACTGCTTCGACGTGCCCTGAGGAATGGATCGACAGGAGGGATCCAGTAGAGGAGGAATGGATGCAGCTTTCGATTTTTGGGGTGGGGAGGAAGTGGGAGGGAGAGGAGAAGGAGATTGTCAAGAGGAAGGTTTGGTACGTGGTACAGAAGAAAAGAGAAAAGAGGGAGGGAGTTAAAGGTTGTCAGTGGGTGAGAGTATATTAGGAAGATGAGAAGGAGAAGGAGGAGAGGATGAAGGCGGGGAGACGGAGGGTTGAGATAGATGATGAGGATGGATTATAGGGGATGTTGTATAGACGAACACATTCACGGACACACACACACACACACACACACACACAGTCTCTCTTTCACTCCTCTTCTGTAAGCTTTGGGGGAAGAAAGAGAAGAGGAAGAGATGATGTGGAAGAATATGGAGAGAGAGCGAGAGGGAAAAAATAATAATAATAATTGAGGGTCAAAGAGCGACAAGTGACAGAAACCAGGACGGTATTGCGAATACCTGATTTGGTAGTGGGGGAAGCTGCGCGATGGTCGTATTGATGCTTATAGTGGAGGTATCACGCAGGTAATAATGCACTGTCCTGGAGTATTTTTAACCTTTCCGGTGGAGCCGACGGTCGGCGAGGAATTCAATTCGCATCAAAACTGACAACAAGACTTTGGCACCCATGGATTGCACCGTCAGAGACTCTATAGACTTTTGTCGCAGGCGATCTAATCATATCATGAAGCAACAAGAAACAGATGCAGTCTTATATTGATTAAGAAAGACGTGAGGTTTGTCTGTCTGTTTGTCTGTCTGCCTGTCCTTCTGTCTGTCTATTCTTATTCAGAGCTATCCGCAGCCACAGTGATATACTTGTGCTCCGTGCTTTGCATTGATCCTCCATTGATCCCATCATGGTTCGCCTGTTCGTGTTGGAGAAACGCAGTAAGAAAGAAAGAATGGAAGAAAGAAAAAAAAATACAAAAAAGAAAACAGAAAAAAAAGTGATTGTTAAACCTTACCCTGCAGCTACATCTTGATGCCTCGTAAAAAGGTGCTGACGACGAGGATCTCATAATTTTCATTTTCTAATTCCGAAGAGTAACTAATGTTTTGTGAATTGCCCTTTCGGCCCCGGATATTCCCACCTCCTGCTTCTTCTTGACCTTCTTGAACTTCTAATGGATTCCTTTTAGTGGAGACACTCCCCATTTAGTCTTCTCTTAGCATTTTGCCCTTTTGCCCTCTTGCCCTCTTGCTCTTTTCTCCTTTCCCCCCGTTCATAATTACCTACCTAATCTCCTTTCCACTCCTTGTACTATTTATTGTACAGTACTTGATCTCGGTTGGCCGGACCATCGGATATCGGAATCAGAGTAAGTGTAGTTGGCTAATTTGCACCAGCACCCAAGAAATTTCTGTCGTTCCTGATGGATCATCCTGTATCGAATCTGATTGCGCCATGCCTGTCTGCGGCAAAAGTGGACTGCGAGGGCTGCGATGAGGCAGTGTCAATCTGGTTCAGGAGGCTGATGGCCTCCCGCTGACTCCTCCTTGGCTAGTCAGGGGAGCCTCAAGAGAGCCTCAGGAGAGCGCCCTGAAGTAGATTTAACAAGAAAAAAAGAAAAAAGGATATCTTACATGGAAGACCTAACACTTGTCTCGGCAGGCGTGGTGGCAGATTTTCACGTATTGCGAAGTCGGATCGTTAATCCGTATAACTTACATAAGTTAGTACTGTACATACAACAACAGTAGGCAGAAGAATTTCTGGTAAGTTAACGCTCCGCCAGGTGGTTGGGCTCACCATGCGATCTTGACTTCCATCTTTCCAAGGCATTATTCTCGATCTCCAGTCCCCTGAGAAATCAATGTCCAAGTTCTCTCCATCCCTGATCGCATGTCGGACATTCGGAATGATGCGCCAGCACCATTCAACCCCACTCACGACCTTCAGTGTCCTCCCGATCGCAGTTACACCAGCCACCTTGCCTTTGCTTTTGAGGTTCTATTAACTAGTATATACTTGAAGCACTGGATAGGTTACCACAATACGAACCGTGGCCCCTCCTTGCCCCCTGAGTATAATAACCACCATGTCCCATGGTGAAAAGGGGATGTCAAGACCTGGTAAACAAGGGGGTAGCAGGATAACTACTACATAGTATGTAGATAAAAGCCCGTAAGGAAGATTGCACTGCATATTTACGCCTGCTGTGGGCACGTCATGCCTAAATTCCAGCGGAGAGACCAACTCTATCTTCTCCGGCCGGCCAGTGACTTGATTGAGCCCGGCCATAGAACGGGGTTTCCTTTTCGGATGATGGAGGAGAGGAAGGGCTCCAAAGAGGTCGTAGGTACGGAGTACAAAGTAAGTTAATGGCTCACCATGGCATCCTTGCCAATGGATGAATTGAACATCTGGTAATGCGTCCGCCATCCATTCCCATTGGGTGCTGCATAGGCATAAACCCCAAAAAACTAAAGCGTGTGTTTTTTTCCAGGGCAGACCGGGCAAGGTGCAGTGCCCCCCGCTGGCGGCGGCGGCGGACTAAGAATAGATCGGAATCACGCATGGATTAGACTTGGAGACTAACTTAGGTAGACTACGTACGTACTGTACCAGGCACGGTACCAAGTACCGAAGGTGTGTATGCGCTAGTAAGGGGTCCTCTTCCTTCTTCGTCCGATTTGGTCAACTATACCATACTTGCGCTGGAACGATTTCTATCATTCACTCAGTTACCTAGGCACATTGCACGATCAGTTGGAGACCTCAAGGTATATGACTACACATGAATTAAACCATGTGTACGTAGTATGCTACGCGCGGCTGGTCTTTTGAGCGTTGATCGCTTGTTGTGGGGCCTTACACCAAGAACCACGAACCAACAATACGTACCAGCGATCAATAGCAAAGAAATCTCGACTCGGGCGCGGGATTACCTAATCAGCTTGAGAGGCAGTCGGTCTCCACGGATTCACAGAGTACTGTCGGTACGGAGTACCAATCTCCAATCTTGTGTGCTGTTCTACCCTGTTATCCAGCTACTGGCAGTCATCGGGATTTCAGGTACTGTATGTACAACGCAAATTTGCAGTCCCGCTATCGGCCCTGCAATGGCTTGAACTTAAGTTAGTCTGTCCTTCCGTCCATCTCCGTCCATCTCCGATATGCCCCTCTAACGGAGCTGCCACTGCCAGGGCGAGGGGGTTGGTAAGCTTGGCAACCCGACCCCTCTCTGGAGGAGGGGCAAGCCTGTCAAACTGTCAACCTGACTCGGACTCTCTCATCATCATGAGCAGCGAATTTTCATGACGGTGGTTGGGTAGCGGAGTTTCAACCTCCAACAATGACAACATCACCAGGAATGGCGACATACGCAAGACGGGTTACTGGTCCCATGGGACGAGCTTACAAGGCCGCCCATTGTTCCTCCACGCTTTATCGGGCCAAGTGCGGGCGGTGGGGACCAGACCTGGTGACGACCACCCTCCATGGACCCCTCCTCTCAAACACCTTTCGTCTGTCTACAGCAAGTATCAACGTCTAAGCCTTTGTGAAACACGAATTTTGATGACATTTCATCGACATCCATGGTTGTCATCAATCTTTCTCGCGGCTGGCCCAACCCCGCCTTGCTGCCCGCCGCCGCCTTGGCCTCGGCCTCCGCCACGGTCCTCGCCTCCCCGAGCATCTGGCAACCAGCCTTGCAATACGGCCCTGATGAAGGCTTTCAGCCGTTGCGTGAGCATCTCGCTCGCTGGCTTACAGAGTTCTACCAGCCACACAGTTCCATCTTACCGGATCGCATTTGTATCACTGGCGGGGCTAGCCAGAACCTTGCCTGTATTCTTCAGGTCTTTTCCGATCCGGTCTACACACGCAACATCTGGGTGGTCGCCCCTACATATCACCTTGCAGGTCGCATCTTTGATGATGCTGGATTCGCCGGCCGCCTGAGGGCGGTGCCTCTGGATGCGGCGGGTCTGGATCTGGCCTATCTGCGAGAGGAGCTAATATCAGTTGAATTCAAGGCCTCCCGTGAGCTGAACCTGACACCGGTACGCTAGAACCTTCTTTTCCACTGCCCTTTCAATATCGTCTGCGTCTGCTCCGCGGAGTGGGCGGTAGTGACCATAAACTAATTGACACTAACTTAACAAAGGAATACAAACCAAATCGACCATGGAGAAAGATCTACAAGCATGTCATCTACGCCACGCCTACCTTCTCAAATCCCTCCACTCTCACTATGTCGCTATCGGACCGCGAACGATTGGTCCGTTTGGCGCGTCAGTTCGACGCCTTGATTATAACCGACGATGTTTACGACTTTTTACAATGGCCCGCAGAACCAGCTGCACAGGAGGGACAGCCAGAACACGCTCAATTGCCCCGGCTTGTGGACATAGACGGATACTTGGATGGCGGACCATCTGATGAGTGGGGTAATGTAATCAGTAACGGGAGTTTCAGTAAGCTGATTGGAGCGGGCATGCGGACTGGATGGGCGGAGGGAACGGAGAAAACGGCCTACGGTTTATCGCAGACGTAGGTGACCGGTGACCGTTCTAGTCTCAAAGCCCGCTTCGTACAAGCTGACATCGAGGTTGCCATAGGGGATCGAGCAGATCAGGGGGAGCGCCCTCCCAGTTTTCCGCCTCCATGGTCGCGCAACTGTTTCCCACGCGGGTCCTCCAAAAACATATCAAGGACGTGTTGCAGCCAGCATATGCAGCTCGATATAAACGAATGATGGCTGCTATCAATGAACACCTAGTACCTCTGGGCGTCACGCCGATGACTCCTAGAGGGACCGCAGGGGGGTACTTCATCTGGCTTCAGCTGCCTACTCCCCTTCGAGCAACCGAGCTGGCTTCGCTCGCACTTCGGGAGCACGGCGTCGAAGTGGCGGCAGGGAACATGTTTCGCGTGCAGGGCGATCCTGCGACGGAGAAAAACGATTTCGATAGTGGGATGCGTCTCTGTATTGCGTGGGAGGATGAGGATCAGCTCGAAGAAGGTGTGCGCCGACTCGGGTGCGCCATCCGCCAGGTCTTGCAGAAACGTTGAGGACGATCTCGGTGCATCAGCTGCCCAAGTAGAGGGGCGACTCTCTCGGACTGAGCCATATCGAGCATTTTAAATCGCGCAGGCGCGGGCGTGACCAACACGAGTTCAAGGTCGGCTTTCAAAATTAGGTTGCCATAGAACGTAGTAAATGGCGCCTGGTGGTCGTTCACGGGGACTGAATGGTGATTAAGCGTGAAGCCGACGCGGGGAAGGGGCAGCTGACATGCTGCATATATACAGTAGTTCGTGGCCGGGCCATAATGCAACGCGGGGACAGAACATCAGTCAGCCAGGCTCATGAGATCTGAAAATGGTTCCGTGACGAAGACGGACAACGGTAGATACGGTTGTACTTTTGGACAAAGGGGAGTAGCGCCTCTCGAAGTGTAAAGGAATGAAAGGACGCGTCAAATAATTCTCTTTCTTCGGAGTCCCTGGCGAAGGGGGTGGAGGGGGGGGGGCGGGGAGGGGAAACTTGGCCAGAGTCCGGTTCTCGGAGACACCACATTCTTGCTGCAGTGTGCCTTGCCCTAGGCTGTTTGTTGTTTGTCGTCTTTCTTGTGGGCAATCGAATGGCTGACGATGTGAACTTGAATCTTGAATTGATTACATATGAGTAGTAACTTCCCAAGCACAGCTAGAAATGAGATTAATGAGCTGGCTACCTAATGGCCTAATGGCTTGTGCATCATGAAAAGCAGAATGTCTCGGGTAAAGGCCAACTAGCGGGACTATTTATTGTCTAGTGGTAGATCGGCGACCCAGTGGGTGTGTGCCATCTGAAACAAAAGCTTGACGGCACTTGCGATATTGGATTTGGACCCATTCATTTACGCTCGCCGATGTGAAGGCGATGAAGATGGGGAGCAGTCTCCCAAGGGCTCTATTTTGTTATCACGGTCGTTGGCAACTTGCCACCTGTTGCTTCTAAGTCTAGAGTAGGTTGCCCCGAGAGTGCGTTTCTCTGCAGCAGCATGCATCAGCCCCTGGAGGTTGTTGACCTTTCGAACCTTGTTCTTTGTTCGCTGTAAAACCAGGGGGAAACAGAGTGGGGCGATGGCCTGAGGCACCAAAATGCATCGGAACCAGACCCCCCTCCCGTGGTAGACCTTCGGAGCCATACCTACCTAACCTACCTTGTAAGTTAGTCGATCTAACCTACGCTTCGCGGCACGTCTATGGTGTCCAAGAGGGTGAGCTTCCTCATTGCCATCGAAAACAGACAATCGGTCAACTTGAATGATAAATATTCTGACCCTTGGATCAAACGCCAATGCAACTTAGTCTGGAACCTACAGCAGCATTACTGCCCAGACCCCCTCTCCCTCGGTTGACCCGTGGACGATGAGGAATGTCACTCGCTACGCAGCATCCTGGACAGCGGAAGGGTGTGTTTGCGCGGTGCTGCCCTGCCCTATTGGGGTTCTATCTCATGCCATTCTTAGGGACCGGTTGTTGATAGGATTCCAGTCATGCAGCCTACGCGCGGGACGAGAGCGAAGCAGAATCGTTGATCTGCCATAATCGACTGAATTCTGGCCACGGCGGCTATGTTGATCCCAGGGCAGTCCTGTTATTTATCTCATTCAGTCCGCTGATCGGCTGACTCGCGCTCTTTGCTTTCTTCTCTTTCTCCCTCCCTCCCTCTCTGTCCGTCTTTTTTTTTCCCACCTCTGGACTGTGGGAATACCTTCCTTCTCCTTCTACCATACACTCTCTTGATCCTCATTGTTCTCTTTTCCCAGGACACGTCCCGCGAAATCTGGAACGAGGCTCTGTTGTTGTGTGCTCGTTTTGCAATCACCACTCGCTCCTTTTGTCTGGTGCGAATTGTTTATCTCTGTTCGGAAGGGAGGAGAGTCCGTCACGGCTTTCCATTCGCTCGCTCGCGACCGTCATTTGCACGTCCAAGGTTCTGCACGGGTGCACCGACGAATATCAGACGGGAAAGGTGTTTAGTTCTAAGTAAGTGCTGACTGAGGACTGGATCTAGTCAGATGCTTGGTTGGCCTGGAACTGGTCATCATCCCACTGCAATCTGCTGGAGTGGCTCTGGAGTGGTCCGGGTGGCTCCAATCAGAGAGAGAAAGTGTACTGACTGGCTCGAGTAGTCTTGCTTCGGTTGTTTCAACCCCTGAGCCAGGCGTTTCACGCGTGCCTTTGTCAAGGTTTATTGGAGACTAAGAATCAGCTGCTTGAGGGGGTGCCGCGGTGCTTTCTGCCACAGACTGTCGGTCTCGGCCAATCAATCCAGGGCGGTAATCGGGCGCTACTGTGATTGTGGGTTCAGTTTCCCAGTGTTTGTGCTGGTTAGTTCGGTTAGTGCCAATAGTGGAGAGTGGGAAGCCTGCCTAAGGCCACTAAGGTTTAATCAGTGCCTGGAAGGACCCGCGCCGGAACGGAACCAGCGCCAGTCCATCTTGGGGTCGAGCCAGTCTTTTAATCTACTGATTGTCCCTCTTCCAGCTCGTGATTCTTCACAAGCCGGCTTGCTTTCTTTTTCTTGCTCCCCTTCATTCCCTATCCTCTTCGTTTGTGTTCCTCCCTCCTGCAGTGTGTGTGTCACACGGTGTGAGATACTGTGCTCAGTGCCTGCAGGTTTTTGGCTACAGCATTGTTTGTGTGTTGTCGCATTCATTCATTCGAGTTATCTTTTGACCTTTCCTTCATTCCACTTACTGTCTGCTTGGCCTGCCACTCTTTGGTCATTCCCCTCTTCCTTCTGCTTTTACCCCGGTTTTCAGTTTGGGAAGCTACGAAAAGCCTCTCCTTCTGACTGGGTCTTGTGACGGATATCGCTTCGTCATCCGATCTCTGTTTTCGTTTTTCGTTCAGTGCCGGTTGCTGAACTGTCTTGTCGCTTCCCTGCCTGCCAGTCAGCCAGGTATATTACTGTCCTACTCACACCCTCATTGTCTCTGCGGGCTCAGTGACAGACATCTACAATCTCGACCATGGCTGTTTTGAACAGATTCGTCATGCTCTTTGCAGCCCACGTGCTGCTGTTGCTCGGCCTTCCGGCCGGGCTAGTCTCTGCTGTTCCCATGAAGGGGGGCTTGGAAGCCCGCGGGGAGTTGAAGGCTCGCGACTCGACCTACTGGGTGGCTGATATCACACGTCAAGGAACTGTGCCCTTTGGTAACAGCTCGAGCTATCAGATTTTCCGCAATGTCAAGGACTTTGGTGCTACTGGTAGGTTGGAGGCCCTGGATGATGAGCAGACCGTACGCTAACAGGCGACTCTTAGGTGATGGTTCCACTGATGACACCGATGCTATCAACATGGCGATTTCCTCCGGCAACCGTTGCGGCCAGGGCTGCGATTCCTCGACTACAACTCCGGCTCTTGTGTACTTCCCTCCCGGCACATATGTTGTATCCACGCCCATTGTGCAGTACTATTACACCCAGCTCGTTGGCGATGCCAACCAGCTCCCTGTACTCAAGGCGTCTGCCAGCTTCACTGGTATGGCTGTGATTGATGCGGACCCCTACACCAACACTGGCGCCAATTGGTATACAAACCAGAACAACTTCTTCCGTGCCATCCGCAACTTTGTCATTGACCTCACCGCCATGCCCCAATCCTCCGGTGCCGGTATTCATTGGCAAGTCGGCCAAGCCACCAGTCTGCAGAACATCCGGTTCGAGATGATCAAGGGAGGAGGTGACGCCAACAAGCAGCAGGGTATTTTCATGGATAATGGATCTGGCGGCTTCATGTCTGATTTGACTTTCAACGGTGGTAACTATGGTGCCTTCCTGGGTAACCAGCAGTTCACGACTCGCAACCTGACTTTCAATGATTGTAACACTGCCATTTACATGAACTGGAACTGGGCCTGGACCTTCAAGTCTGTTACCATCAACAACTGCGGTGTCGGTCTAAACATGTCCGCTTCTCCCTCGAACCAGACTGTTGGCTCCGTTTTGATGCTGGATAGCAAGTTTACCGGCACACCCATTGGTATTGTGACTGCCTTCAGCTCTGACAGTATTCCTACCGGTGGTGGCGCTCTTGTTCTCGATAACGTTGACTTCACTGGTTCCAGCGTCGCTGTGGCCAGTGTTTCCGGCAGCACGATTCTGGCGGGTGGCTCTGTCGTCGACAACTATGTCCAGGGTAACGCCTACACGCCCTCCAGCACGCTCAAGAAGCGCTCGCCTGCTGTTGAAGTTATTGTGGAAACTATCACCACGACCATCGAGGTTTGTCCTGCGGATTACCCGACCGGATCTGCAGCCTCCGCCTTCCACACGGCTGCGACTGAAGCTACACTCAATGGCGCCGAGGCCACTGCTGCCACTGACCGTCGCCCTCACACTGGTAGCACCTGGGGTAGCTCTGAGAGCACTGCCACCGGTCAGTACTCGCCTTCCGTCGTGGAGACATCTGCATCACAGGCGACTAGCTACCAGTCTAGCTCTGATGCCGAGGAGTCTTCACCCGCTGGCGGATCATCGGAATCAACCGCTCAACAATCTTCTCCTGCCGGTGACTTTTCTGCATATGGCTCTCAGTCAAGCTCTGGCGCGCAGCAATCCTCTCCGGTCGGTGGATCTTCGGGCTCCAGTGCCCAGCAGTCCTCTGCTGCCGGCTATTCTGCCAGTACGACCCATGTTCAAGGCTCATCTGCCGCTGTTGCTACGTCCGCGGCCGCCTCCTCTGCTCATGCTTCTGGTTCTTCCGGATCTGGTACCTGTGCCTACAAGACGGTCACCAAGACTCGCCTCGAGACCACTGTGGCATCCCCAGCCAAGCCCAGCGCCCTTTTGAACAGTGACGGTTCCCTGTTCGAGAAGTCCAAGCCCTTGTATGAGGACTACGCTGCTTCCTCCTTCATAAGTGTCAAGTCCGCCGGTGCCAAGGGTGACGGCTCTACCGACGACACCGCTGCCATCCAAAAGGTCCTTGACTCGTGCACAGACGATCAAATTGTCTACTTCGACCACGGTGCCTACATCATCACTGATACGATCAAGGTCCCCAAGAATATCAAAATCACCGGTGAAATCTGGCCAATGCTGATGGCGTATGGTGACAAGTTTTCCGACGCGGAGAATCCCATCCCCATGCTCCAGGTTGGCGAGGTTGGCGAGAGCGGCTCCGTTGAAATCAGCGACTTGATTGTCGAGACGAAGG